CATGTGCTATACACACACAAGTAAACAGACAAGCAAGCGTAGCACGCATACTCTTTGCAGGATTTTTTGGAATCTTTTCTACATCTATAAACAAAATTCTTTTAGACGCACAAATAAAAGAATATAACACAAAAATAGAAACACGACAAAATACATACGACGAAGAACATAACAATGTAGACATAACGCCAACGGCACCACAATTACCACCCCTACCAAATAACCATCCACTATCCCTAGTCCCACGAAATTTTCGAAATTTAGCCATCACACATAATCCAAATTTTCGACTCACCACATCACAAAGTCCCATCCAACATATAAGGACACACCAGTCACAAGATGATAATACTTATGAACAAATTATTGAACAACCCCATACCACCGCTTTTCAGTCTCAAAATAATCATTTTTTTAGCCCACGATGAGCCGCCAACTTGGATCACTACACCGATCAAATTCCCACCCAACCAATCTTACCTCTACAATCCCAATAATACCACTTTTTGCTTTTCCGCCACCCGATTTTCCATCTAGTAATATAACATCAGGCATGAATTCCGACACTAATTCACACATCTCAGTTTTATATTCCATCTCACAACTCAATAACCCAAATATTGAAACCCCCGATGAATTTGCCGACTCAGAACCATCCCCATCCAATAATTTTCATAACTCTTCTAATTTTTCTCAACCCCCTTTTCAACCCATATTATCCAATAACCCTGACCCCATTACTCCCACACCCTCTTATGCTTCCCAAGTTACCCCAACCTACTCCTCATACCATTCTGACCAATCATCTCATTCTCCAGACACCCCCCGAATCTCCCCAGAGCTAGATAATTTTATTACCCTTCAACAACAACCCTACCACCTCCATACCCCAACAATAAACCAAATCTCCTCCACAATAAATTCATCCAACCCCCCTACCCCTACACCCTCTTCAAATTATACTGAATCATTAGCACCATCATCCACATCAACTGAAACATCACTCAACACTAATAGAGCTTACCGCACTTTTAAAAGAAAGTTCCCCAACCATCCTTTCCCAGCAAAACCAGGAACAGCCCGTGAATACATCAACCACCCCAAGCATACTAACACAAAAGAATTTTTAGCCATCACCTTACCCTCATTCCCACAATACACCTTAAACACCCCCCACGACACTAACGAAACACGCAACTTTGTAGATGAATACGTTTTAATGCCCACTCTCTCTTGGACCTCATATTATCATTTTACTAACCCTCTTTGCTTACCTTTATCTAACACTCACATCGATATAGAGCGAAATACGGACATGCTATATCGACTCACTACACCACTAACCGCTAGACAATTTACTTACGTTGGATATAAAAAATCACTAAAAACACACACTGCACCTAGAGCTAACGAATATACACTCGAATACTATGATCACAACATCATCAGAGCTAACCAAGATCAATTCTTAGACGACGATCGCTTCGCTAATCCACAAATTACCGAGAAATTTTTCATCAAGACACCATATATATTTACACTAAACATCTTCGACCGAAAGTTTGATCACATTATTTCAGAAGCACTAACAGACACACAAGCATACGAAAGTTTTAAAGAACGTTTCCAAATATTTTCACTAACCTTTCATTTCCTTGCACCACACGAAAGAGATTTGCACTGCTCACACGATATTATGTTGCGCACTAAACAAACCCACACATATAGTTATTATCGCTTCATCCAAAATCACTTTGACCTACACACACCCTCTAGACAACCACACCATCGTTTTCAATTCATTAATTCCAAATACACTTCACCATTTTTCCTAAATTTCACATATTGTATTAAAGACACTAATCTTCATGGTATTCTTCGCAATTATGATCCCATAACCCAAATGTACATCTTCTGTCCCATCACCAAGACCTTCAACGCCGAAGAATCCCGACCCTTCCTTATCCCGCACGAGTTTGTACAACCTATAGAAATCCCAATTTTAGAATTCATCCACAACACTAAATTCAATCACAAATTATATAACCTAATCCAAAACACACCTTATGAGTTTGCAGTTGGCACTGAAGAACTAACCACTATTAAGGCACTTCAATTGCTTTGGCCACTGCTTCAGACTAAAAATATCATTCGCATCTTAGCTAAACTACTAACAACTTCCGATCTCATCCACGACATCTTCCCCCACGGTTTTTTCCCCGACGACTAACAGGTAAGTATGAATTAAATGAATATTACTAACTAATTAAAATATTAGAAACTCACCATTCTTTATCCATGTTTTCTTTAGATTTTTAGCCTTCATCCGACAATCACCTACAAAAACCACAAAAGACAGTAAAAATCGCAAATTTCATCAAACAGATTTCAAAAATTCTATTAATTTCTTACACTTATAAATTTATAAATTTAATACCAATGCAGTAAATTCATTTCTAAAATTTTCCCCACAAGCAGTAAATCTAATTATGATGAAAATTTGTAACTTAAAATTCCCCCATAACTAGCAGTAAATTTCCAAATTCTATGCAGTAAATTAATAAAATGCAAATGCAGTACTAACCTTTTGATATTTTCATTCATTCGCACAGAAATTCTATCCACACTCGCACAGCTCGCCCACGAAGAATTGTTTAAAATAATGAATTTCAGTTTCAAGTTTTCACACTCAACAACTCTAACATATAATAACATGTTTCAAACTTTCCTTTAACCCGGTTGGAAAGGAATCATATACTAAACAAAACTAACCAACGCAGCTTACTAAATACCACAAATCATAGAATAACAGCATGACTAAGAAAAGGAAACCAACGGTACCCAAACCGGATTAACCCAGTTTAAAACTGGATAATTTATTCTTTTGAAGACTATTATAAAGTCTAAGAAAGAAATAATAAAACACAAAAAAGTCGAAAGACAAACCCATACCACGAACAATTTGATTTTTGAAAAAAGGACACAACCAACAAAACATAAGAAAAACCATAACAAACCCAACATAAAACGTTGTCACATAACAGGACCCCTCACAAAAACCGCATGAAATCATACTCCCACTCCTGGCCTAACCCACCAGGAAGGACGTCCTGAGCATGCTCTATAGCCGGCCTAACCCACCGCGCTACATCCACGCTTTGTGACCACACCTCTATTTTTAATAAGAGCTACTCAAGTGTGAGTAACTCTTCAAAATAACCGAACTAAAATAAAAAGCTTTTGTGAAAACAACTAACTAAAATCATAATTAAAAAATATTAAACTAATAAATGTTTTATAAAATGTAAATTACATTATGCAATACATAGATCAGAATACAACACCAAGGACGAACATCTAAAGACAAAACGACCCCACTACACTCGAGAGAGAATGGCCAACCACAATCGATATGCCACTCACAATCACAACTCAAAGGATTTAGAGTACGACTTGACTTCGCAGAAAAGGACTTCATTGAACTAGACCAATGACCACCTCGATGTTCAAGTATACGTACAGATCCGAGTAACCAGGCATCCCCTCCACGCACAATCTCCACGCCATTCCCAAATTAGATCAGACACAAAAGAAGTTCTCCACGCAGAACAGAAAAACCTGACATAGCAAACCATTCTGAAATCAGATTTGAGTTTGTTGCAAAGACTTAGTCGTTGTCACTAGAAGACACAACGTCTTATGTCTCTAACTCCAGCTTCCTGGAACTTCTTTAACAAAGAGGAAACAGAAGAAATAAGATGTTCGCCAAACACCAACGTCCATCATCCATCCTTCGAATTGCAGAAGAACTATTCTAAAAAACTCTGTAAAACCCGGATGGGTGGAACCTGATCTAAACTACATTTTATGATTGGATAAATTAGATATTTTACCAATGTAAAGTATTTAATATTAACCAATCATGATCCATCTAACTAACAACCCACTTATTTGTAAGTGCTGAAGTTACTTGTAATTTCAGCACCAGAGAGATTTGAATTTAACTTAGAAATTAGTTGGACTCTCCCGAGCACTTCAGCAGCCGCAATAAACCAGTATACCCTAGATCTATTGAGCCTAGCAGAGACTAGTTAAACAACCTGAGACTAGATAGTATAAGAGTAAGATTAGGATCGGTATTAGACTAAGAAGTTGCACGAATCTATCCGGCCGAAAATAAGATAGCGTGACGAGCAGACGGTGTACCCTATCCGAAATTACTCTATGAGTTATACACTCCAGTCCTAACTCAAATGGAACTTCTAATGCGTCCTAATTGCTTTGCGTCACTTAATAGTTATGTCGACTCATAGTTGGCGTGCGTTACTTAAGAAATTTTGTAGACTCAAAGTTTTACTCATTCAGTTTTTCCCAGTAGCGTTATTGGTCATATTTTTGCTTGTATATGCGAAGTGCAAGTTCGCCTCTGTGTTAATAGTTATTTCTGGGAAATTTAATACGTTCGAAGCCAAACCTGAACTGTAGTGTTGCATTTTAAGGGTTAGAGTAGTGTTTGCAGCCCAGAAAATTAGCAAGAACAAAAAATATATATTTGTAAATATTGGGCAAATCAAATTTCCGTCTCTACAGGAGCTGTACAGCTCATAAATGGAGACTTTCCTTTGTAGATAGGTCGTCGTGAGAATCTCTTTTAAACCAATTTCATTGCACCTAATTTTCATGATTCAGTATGATCCACAATAATTAGGACCAGCATACGAGCTGTTGAGCTCATTACAGAGAACCGCTGTTGTGCCTCTGTTTTAAGAACTACATTCCTTTTAGATTACATTTTTGCGCTTGGTAATGCTGCTGCCGCACCCTCGGGCAACGATGTGCGGATCAGGGTGTGCCTCGAACATCCGGCCTTTCGATTAAGAGGCGGAGACCTGAGCACTTCACCACCACTCCCCTTCACCACCACTCCCCTTCACCACTTCACCACCACTCCCCTTCACCACTCCCCTTCACCACCTTAATAATTTCTCCGGCAATTTTAGGGTTCTGGTGACGACCGTCAGCCCATTTTCTTCTCAGTGGACAGCCTCAAACCAATCCAAGTCCTCATCTCATTCTCCGCTCTTTCCAAGTGGATCGAACCATCTTCATCCTCCCAGGCTGGGTTCGATTCCACTTCGGCAACCGCCAGTCAGCAAGTGGCCAGTGCGGCTCCTCTTCCTGGAACTCAGAATTCTGCGGCTGGGAATAAATTGAGAATGGACAAGAAGTCGGCTACGTTTCTGAGCGAGGCGCCCACTATTTTCTCAGACCGTGAGTTTTCTCCTATGTTGTATTTGAATCTGCAAATTAGTTGTGTCATCTTACCTACTTTTTAAAATTAAGCGACCGATTTCTAACTTGATGGTTTGTCAAATTTGATATTTATGAGGCTGTGTCTATTCTAAGTTAGAATTTCAATTTGACTTAATCGTCGAATAATGAAACTTAGGCTCGGTTTTAAAAATAGTTGACGATTTTTTGGAATTGATTGTTCTGTTCTTTATTTCAAAGCATCGATGCAATTGATTTAACTGCTGAAACTCTTATTTGCACATACTTTGGGAGAACGAAAACATTGACTTCAGAAAAATTCATTCTTAGATCCATTGGATTTCTCTTTTTAGATGAGTCTAACAAAGATGGTCCAGTTGTAAGTGGTGGCATCTATGAGGCGTTCAAGAGGAGAGCGGCATTCACTCCTGGTATACTGGTAGCAGAACCCTACACTTGGAAGAGTCTAGTTATAGGGAACCCTATTTTGTCTGTTAAGACCACCGGCGCTAAATCAGTACTGCTCAATTTGGCCCCCGGGTTAGCAAAATTCTTCAGCTAACGATTTGAAAAAGAGTCGATGAAAGTAATTCAGACTCTTAAGTAGGTAGCGATGATTTTTTATTCGTTTTTTTTTAGGAAAAGTCTTATAATTTGTTCAGGCTTAAATTTATTTTTTTCGCAGATTGACTTGATTTCTTTTTAAGTTCAGTTTATTTCCTTTGTTAAAAGAAAGGGAAACTCCGCTATCGAACACGGAAAGTAAAAAGGTCTCAAAAAACGTTATCGACTTTTACAGTGCTGATTTAAATTAACCGGACACAACGAGCAGCATTGGAAATTTTAAACGCGAAAGTTTTTCTCAAATTGGGTTAAGATCATTTTGCTTTTTTGGTCAATCAAAAATTACGCTGAAACTACCGAGTTAATTGATGCAAATGTTCTATGAAAAAAGCCTAGTGCACGGCTCAACAAAGTATTTGAAGAGTAAAACTTTCAAAATTCTTTATAAGAACATAATTTTGGTTGATAACCAAAAATGATCAGTTTTACTATATACAAATCAAAATCTTTGGCTAAAAGCAAATTTCATTTTTTACGCAAAATTTTCGAAAAACTCACCTTTCTAAAACTGTGCTGGGCTGTGTACGAGGCTTCTTTTGATACAACTTTGTCATCAATTAACTGGATAGTTTTAGCGTAATTTTTGATTGACTCAAGAAACCAAATGACCTTATTTTGGGGTAAAATTTTGGTTGAGAATTTTAGGGAAAAATTGCACCAAATTAATTCTAGTGAAACTCCAAGCAGCTTGTCTTCTTCACTTTTTGTCTAATCTTAACCCAATTTGAGAAAAACGCGTGAATTTTCAAATTTTGTTCGTTTTGTCCGAATAAGTTAAATCAGTTCTGTAGTTTCGAAAATGGAATTTACTTTTCAGATTTCCCAGATATCTAAGTTAGTTTTTTTTTGGTTAATTGCGTTGATTGACTATTTTCCCACTCTCTGTTGTCTATGCTTAAAATCAGGAGCGGATTTAGGGGTCCCCCTTTGAACTATTTTGAAATATCCTTTTTTGGTGACAGACCCTCAAATTTTTTTCAAGGAGCCTTCGACGCCAATATACACTAATTTTAAGGGGGGAGTGCGCGCGGAAAAAATGCAATTTTTTGGTCAAAATTTTCCAAAAAGTGCCTAAAAACGCCTTTTTTCAAAATTTTGCCTGCGGTGCAGAAAATTCGGCCAAAACAGAAACTTTTTAGTGCTTTTGGAGAGATCGAAAAGTCAATTTGGTCGACCTAATAAAAAGAGGTCGACAAAATTTTCGTAAAATTTTTGAAAATCCGCCCCCCCCTCCAGAAAATCCTAGATCCGCCCATGTTTAAAGTTCTTACAGTTGTGTGAAAATGAGTTATTTTTGATTGGGTTTTTTGTAGATAAGGTAAGCTTTTGTTTTTTCTTCTCTACCTATTTATAGTTATATGCAACTTTTAGCTCCAAAAAAAATTGGTTAAAAGATGCCATTTGTATAGGCGACATATTCTGCGATTCCATATAAACGCGCCTCTGGCTTGGGTTGTCAATCTGTGCTCAACAACTCGCTTCTACTTCGGAGACGAGGAAAACGTCATGTCTACTGTCGTGAACGTATGGCATAATTATTGTGTAAAGTAACATTGTTATAAAACAATATTTCATAGATTTCATTACTTTTTTCCACGTATAGGAAAGTCTGAGGTTCCAAGAGCATGCTATGCAGCTGGTACAGAAAATTGGACGCGCGATCCAAAATTTTTCGGACCCTGAGAGTTTTAAGGAAGCCATCGACGAAATGAAGCAGTGCTACAACCCCACTGAGGAAATTCCTGACAACATCGAAGTACGTTAATTTGTTGCTAATCTGGGTATTAAAAAGGGTCCCTTTTTTGGCTGGACCTGATTTTGGATACTATTTTTACTAACATGCATCAAGTTGTTTGCATCTCCTTATTTTCGTTTTCTTGTTTTAGTTTACGGTACCCAAATATAAATACTTGTTCAACTTAGTGTTCATCAATTGAATAGATCTTGAATAGATATTGGGCCATTTTTTAATAGATTTTTTCATTGACAAATACAGCATGCGTTCATGAAGTAATTGTATCTTAGAAAATTGGTAGAATGTTTTCATTGCTAGCTTGCCATCAAGCTTTCTACATAATGAGCGCAATTAAGCATCCATTTTAAATCTTTCGTTCATCATGCAGTATTGCAGAGTTTCGATCCATTTCTTGTCTCAAAATATATAGACGATATAGTTTTCCAGTCAATATAATTGAAAAAGTTCGAGGTTTTGGACGAGAAACTCATTCAATTCTTGTTCATCATTTCGATGTAAGTGACGGATTATTTGTGCTCGGTGATTTTTTCCAGAACATTTTCAACTTGTTAATTATTTAAATGGGATAGTTATTTCTGACAAAAAATTGAATTTTTGAAATTTTTGTAAACTATTTTTTACTAGTCATTTTTCAACAAAAATTATTGTGCAATTGGCTTATTTTACTATTACTGTCGAATATGCCTAAGTTCTCTTTTTCGTTTAGATATTTTATCGCACTTCGCAGAAAAACGAAGAGAAAAACGACTTTACACGGCTTGCGCAGTAACCGGCTATACTTGTTAGGCTTCAAAAATATTGGATTATGTTATATTAGAATGGTTGCTTCATAGTGCCTTGTTTGAGATGCGAAATTATATAAACCCTTGCGATAAGCAAGGCTATTGCAATCGGATATTGGACTTTTTTCCCGTAAATTACTTTTCCCGGCACCAGACACACTCCGGGCGTCTTCACCTCTTTGTTCTCGTTTTTGTTTCAAATATGCCAGCTTTTTAAAATTTGCTTTTCATGTTGGTTGTTATTTTTCCAACTCGATTTGTTAAAGTTTAGTTTTTTCCTTTTTTCGGCTTAATAGATTTCGGCCTAAATTATAGCGGTTTAGTGACCTCATTTTGATTCATTTCAAGCATGAGTTGCTAAATTTTGGTTTAAATTGTAAAAAAAGTAATTGGTGGTTATAGAATAATTATTTTGTTACTTCTGCGATAGCAAGTGTATTGCAATTGGGTACTATACATATTTCCCCGAAAATAACTTTGTTCAAAGCACTCACTGGACTCACCTCCTGGCCACCGCTGTTAGCAACTAATTTTTGGTAAGAGACAGATTTTGTGCCGGTTAGAATTTTAAATACTGTCCCATTTTTAATTTGCTTTCTAATTTTGGCTAGAAGATTTCACCACCTCAATTCGTTTAAGTTTCATTTTTTATTTTTCCTTTTTTTTGGCTTAATAGGTTTCGATCTAAATTTCGTTTGTTGAACGGCCTAAATTTCGTTTGTTTTCCGCTTGTCGAACGACGCAATATGAGATCACTAAACTTCGCTTGTTTTTCGGCCGAAGTTTTGTTTTTCGGTCTAAAGCTTTGGCCTAATTTTCGCTTGTTTGTCGCTTGTCGAACGACGCAATATGAGATCACTAAACCGGTAATTAGTGATCTCATATTGCGTCGTCCGACAAGTGAAAAAAGTTTTGTACATGTGTTAGTGTTTTGATTTTGAGTGGACATGAAATTTTTTTGTAACTTTGAAGTCTTCTTTTGATTTTTTGTCTTACTATTTGTCCTTTTTTGCCTTACTAGGTTTTGGTTTATGTTACTTGGTCTTAGTGGCTTTTTATTGAGCCGTTTAATTAGTAAAATGATTTTGGTGTGCGTGCGTGTGTGTGTTTTGAGGGAACGGTAAACGTAAAATTTGTATTTGTTTCAAACTTTAGACTTTTTCGGATTTTCGTTTCTGTTTTTTTTCTCATCTTGATAGGTTTTTTGCTTATTTTGTATCGCTGTAGTGACCTCATATTGAGGCTTTTGAGTAGCAAAAAAATCTGTGTGCGTGTGTGTGTTGTGAGGGAGAGGTAAATTGAATTTTTTTTACTTCCATTTTTTTCTAAACTTTACTCGGATTTCAGTTTTTGTCTTTTTTCGGCTTAGGTTTTGGCCTACTTTTATCGAGTTAGTGGCTTCTTATTGCGCCATTTGATGAGCAAAAAGTTTTTGTGTGCGTGTGTGTATTTTGAGGGAGAGGGAAAGTTAATTTTTTTCATTAGCTTCAAATTTTTCTGAAATTTTTTTTGAGCTTGAAGGGTTTCTGCTCAGATATTTCCGGCGTTGTGATGTTTTCTTTTTTTAATAGATACAATTTAATAGGTCTAATTGCATGCATAATTGTATATTTTCGATAATTTCATATTTGGCTGATGGTTTCCGTTGTCGATTGAGCTCTCGGTTTAGTTTCCGAAATGTGTATATCACCTTGACTTCGTTACATGTATGACACTCGTGGAAATTATTTGGGCAGTACATGATTTTTTTAATCAATTTTGTTTTGTTCAAATTTTCGGTTGATTTTTAGCTTATTGGCTGCCGGCTCTAATTCTGTCGGTGTATTTACCATACATCTTGTTTCTTCAATTGTCCGATCAAGCTTCGCCTCTGTGTGATAAATTGCTGTAACCGTGGAATTAATTGGGGCCGAAGAATTGTTACTGAATTTCAGTTCATTTTTTTATATAAATTTGGGTTTTGTCTTTATGTTGTCTTTTCATTTGACTGTTATCCACAAATAAGCTGCAACTAATTTATTTGAAATTAATTGAATATCTCAATTTCGAATAATTTGGGAGTTGTGACTGTGAGCTCTTAATTTTTGAAATTATGACATCGCATTAGAAAATTTCCGTTTTTACTTTTTTCACAACTGAAGTTTTTCGCTTGGGATGATTTGGTCACATGTTTTTTTTTTGAAACCATAAATGCTCAAAAGTCAATAAATAAAGAAAAAGCAATTTTTTCCGACCAATTGAAAAATGGGGAGAAACTTTGTATTTGGGTGGATTTGTTTTGAACCTTTGTTTGAACCTAGTGAAAGCAATTATTATTCTAAGAAATTGAAAAATTCGAACATTCGGGTGTGTTTGTTTTTTTTTCTCTTTTTTGTTTCTCCGAAAATCAGGTATCACTATTAATCATCGTAATGGGTCGGGGATATATGATATTAAAGCTCTTCATTCGAGATTGGAACGACAGCAGAAATTTCAAAAAATTGTCGCAGTATCGAGAAAAACAGGTTTTTGATTTATGTCTGTATTCGAGCGCATACTGCCAGCGAGTAGGCTTACAGTTGCTTTTTAATGTTTTTGAGCCTAATTTGAGCCCTTAAAACTCAGTTTTACTCGAGTAGAATTGTTTTTGGATCTGGTTAGCGACATTAGGGATTTAAAAACATTGGCGGCATTGGGGAATTGAAATTTGAATTTTTGTTTGATTTTTAAAAAAAAGTTTAAATTAATTTTTCGGCAAAAGCTTAATCATTTTGCCTTTCATACCAAGACTCTCGAATATTCTTAAGTTTCACTTTTTCGTTCAGATCCTTTTATTACACCATGCAGAGAAAAAGCGATAATAATTTGGAAAAAATTTTTTTTGTATTTTTTATGACTATGGTCGGAACATTCTGTGCTATTGCACAGCAACCGGTATCCCTGTCAAGCTTTGTTTTTTTTAATATATAACATCTTAATTTCTTAACTCGCAGATTCGTGGTTCGATTTTTGCTTTCGTTTTAAATTCAATTCAGTTTCAGTAGCTTAAAAAAGACAACTTACGCTCTGCTAATGTGAATGCATATGACGCAAACAAAGCGTGATTGTCTTTTTGTTTCGAAAGTTATATTTGCCAGTGGAACAAACGTAGCGACAAAAAATATTAATGATCTAGTTTTTAAAAATTTGTTCGGTTTCACCAAAAACTGTTATTTGGCTAGCGAGCTTGCGAGCGTACTGTTTTATTAACAACCATCTTTTTTTCCAAGCTAATTCGCAAATAGTAGTGTCTCTTAGAAGTGTACAGTTATTTGACGGTATTTTTGATATAATCACGATCTGTATCCTTGGAAGTTTAATAGCATCTGTTCTCTGCTTTATTTTCGGCTGGTTTTTGTGATTTATCAAGCGTCCGTGGCTAAGTCGTTCATGCGTGGGACTCGAGTATTTTTCTATTTTTTTCTATTGCACTTTGTAGAGCTGCTTTTTTGTCGTCTTCTGGCTAGTGCTTGCAAAGCTCAGCTTCGCCTCAGTCTTCATAATTAGATTGTTGTTTTCTTTGAAACTCGAAGATGTTTATTTGTAATATTTTGGAACGTGAATGTTTTCTTGGAAAACGTTTTGAAAATTGCATTCAAATTCTGTTTTTAAAATACTTGAACTGCTATAAATTTTGGTGTCGCGAGTCTTTGGAAGCTCCGCTTTTTCGTGTGTGGTTTTTATGGTGAAACTGCTACTCAAATTCTTCATAGCGATCAGATTAGTAGTTTTTTCTAATTAATGCTTCAAAATGTCTTTAGCTGTGATTGCAATTGTTCATAGTTTGAGTTCTGCGGTTTCAATCTTGTAGATTGCCAAGTTGTTTTTCAAAAGTCCTTTGGTTTATATAATTATGTAAAGTTTTTTTTAAAAGCTTTGTCAATATTTTTTGCTTGTGTTTGCGAAATGCAGCTTTCTCTGTTTAAAATGCTGAAATTTTGTAGTTCTAAATGAGATTTGCTCAATGTTATATCTAACAGAGAAGTTAGATTGAACGTCGCGAAGACTCTTGGATAGTGATGTTTTTCATTCAAAAAAGTTTTAATATTCGTTCACGCTATCATTTGGTTCTTCGCGGTTTGGCTTTCATTTCTTTTTATGTTCAGCTCATTTCCTTTAAAAGAAACCAAACTCCAAAAAATATAAAGTGCACGATAAACGTGATCGACTTCTAATTTTGGAAGTGGATTAAGTTTTCAA